TCCTGGGCTGATTCCTGCAAACTGCTGCAGCAAAGCATGCAAAGTAAATAAACATATTTAAGCTGGATTTTAAGTTTGCCAGCAAACATGTTCCTCGGGAAATGATGCTAGATTGTTGCTGTAGGATATATATCTATTTTATATTTATATTACAGCAGACAACTTTTTAAATATATTTCTCACTGTTCTGATTGAGTTGAGGCTAAAACTGTGCCGATATCCAGGCCTGACTTGTTACAGTTCCTAAGCTCTGATTCTATGGTCTGTTTTTGTCACTGATTTGTTAACATGAAGGGCAGCTAGACAATCAATGACACGGTTTAATTTCAGTCAACACCTTCAACCCAAACACGCTGAACACAAGACGCGCAGGCACAAAATCTGATCGGACACGTGTTGTTGTTGTCATCCTGAGCACGCAGCTTCTTTTCAGCATCGCTGTCGCTTCATATTTTTATCAGATGCGGGTTACAGATAGCGATACGGCATCCTGAAATCAGAGCAGCGGTTAAGAGCAGAGCGTGAAGGCCTGCAGTGTGAACGTGGTCCTGGAGCGGGAGGATGCCGCCCGAATACTGACGAGGAGGCTGAGTGTCTCATTCAGCACCTTGGCCTCGTCCCACCCATCGGGCTGATGGAAGTCCCTCTAATGGATTGATCGCACTTTTCATTTCTCACCATTAACAGACGCAGCTCCTTTTTCGTCTTTCTTTTTTAAACCATCTTTAACTGGAAGTTTGCCTGTGACAGAGAAGTCAGTTTAATATTGCTCTTCTTTCTCTCTTCTTTAAAAAAAACTCCATTTGACCAGGAAGGTTTTGTTGAACCTTTTCGCAGCAACATCAGCGGTGATGTTTAGCGGTGATTGTCTCACTTATAGACAAAAGTCCTCACCTACAGTACATCCATCGCACCTGTGGGTTACAGACAATTTCAGTTTTATTTTAATGGCATCACTTCACAACAAAAACGATCTCATGGAGAGAGAGAAAGCCCCAATGATTCAACAATCCCATATCTGCAAACACTTGGTGACAGTGGGAAGAAAGAACGGCATATTAAGAGAGGCAAACAAAACTGGATGCCTCTAAGAGGATCACAAACCTTTAGATGACCAGATATCCTGTAATGATCACGCCAAGAGTGCAACATGGAAAAAGGACTAAAACTTTAAATGCGTCCACTCGCAGGAAAACGTTGAGTGGGAACACTGGAGTGTGTCTCAAATATTTGGATGAGCCACAACATTTCAGGAAAGATGAGATAAAAGTTTTAAAGCCTCGTCCTGACTGTGCAGCACGGCGGAGGAATCATCGTAGTTCAGCGCTGCTTTTGAACCAATGAATGCAAAAGTTTAGCAAGGTTCACAGGCGGGTTTGGGTAATGCAACAACACAGAGACTCAAAGCAGCAAGTAAACCAAAAACTGCAGTTTCAAATAAGAAAACTGAGGTTTGGAGGGATGACATGAAAAGGACAATTTCTTCTATAATCAAGTTCAAACTGCGTCTCATTAGTTCATGTTGAAGTTTCACATAAGCTCTGATATGTCCCGTTGGAGCATATCTGTGAGTGAACGCTACAGGACTTATAATAAAACAGAAGCCAACACAAACTCTACAAACACCAGATCTACTTTCCTTACAAACGCTGTCTAACTGAATTTATACAGAGCCTTGGGATTTAAGAAGATTAAGTTGGAGCTGAGCTTCACCTGCAACAGCCAACATCTGTTCAAACAGATGGTAAAAGTTGACCTCAGCGTGTTTGTTATAAGAGCTCTGAGTTAATCTCTTTTCTTTCCTTTTTTTAAACACAAGTGTTTGTTTCACAGCTTCTCTTTCATTTTTATGGCGTCATTTTAAGAAGAAACGCCAGTGACACGGCACACTCACTGCTCTCACGGTGGATTTGTGTATCGTGTGTTTGGCTGAAGGAGAAGATTTCTGTGTGCGAGGTCTTGTTCCCTTTAGTCCCATGTGGTCAACAGGATATTCAGGGATTTTGAGATTTGCTTTGTAGAATTTATTTCTTGGGAACAAGCGTTTTAAAACAAGTGTGATTGCAGCAGCTTAAAGAAATGAGCTTGGTAACCACACTCCAGTTTTTGTCATGTTTTATTAAGCAGCAAAAAAACAAGCTGTGTGAATATTTCCAGCTGGTATCTGATTCTTGCTGCATGGTTAAACAGTCAACAGAGCAGTCCCTGGGATGTCTAGCTGGACCGCTGGTAGGCTGGAGGACGCTCGGGTTGCCGCCTGTCTCCCAAAGCTACTATCCGAATTTCTTTCTCTCTTCTTTTCTTTTTAATCTTGTAGGATTTTCTGTTGCTAATGTTTTAGTGAATGTTGCAGCAGCTCGAGAAAAAAACACAAGCAAAGTAAAAATAGACTGTGGGAAACAGATAAGGGCAGCAAGAGATGGAGCCTTTTGCCAGTTGTTCAGCTGATGGCGAGCCACAGAGCAGCACAGATATGACAGTAACCCGCCACCCTCTCTGGCCTAAACGCTGCCGAGGACTTGTTGTTAACTCCACGGGGACCGACCCAGTTCCCTCTCGCAGCTAAAGGTCGCATGTCTTGTGGCGCTGGACTGCACTGCATGTGTGCATAGACTTCCCTTCAAACACAAACACCAAAGTTAAGGATGTGACAGTAAGAGTTCTGCAGAGAGAAGGGTTTCCTTTTTTGCACCTCAAATTTGTTGCTGGGACGAACTGCTAACGTCTGAAATTCAACTTTGCCGGTTTGGACAGATGCTGGGCAGTTAAAGATGTCCCCCGGGCCTCAGTGCTGGTTGTGGCTGTGGTCAGTGAAGGAGGCAGCTGGTGCTCCTATTAGGCGGTATTAGCTCAGCGCCCTCAACCGCAACAACAAATGTATCTGCCACACTCATTTGCAATGGAAAAAGCAAAGCCGATCGAGGCCTGTCGCCCAGCCTGGGATGACGGGACCAGAGGATGGAAGCCTGGCAGGCTCTGTTGTCACTCACTGTGACGGCTTTACTGCGCTCTGTTTACATTTTACAGAACAGTCGTGTGTATGTTTAATGGCAGGCAAATAGCAGGATAGTAAAAAAGGCCAGTTTTCTTTTTATTACCTCCAACAGCAATCAGGACTACATATGTGAGTGAGTGTACCCTCCAGTATTACTGAAACAGCCCCAACAATTGGCCACTCCCCTGTAAACAAACTTGGTGACTGTGGGGAGAAAGAACTCCCTCCCGGTCAGCAGCAGGCGTCGGCTGTCCCTCAGGGACCTGCTGGAGCGACACTACCATAAGTTGTTTGTGCAAGCGTCTTCTTAGGACCTATAGTCAGATTTTAAGTTTAAGCGACCTCTAGTGGCTCTGTGTGGAAATGCAGTAACATGTGCACTATGTGCGTTAACTTTAAACATTGTGGATTTGCTTTTTATTCTTTTTAAGATTGTGTCTCTATTTTAAACCAACTCCTGATCTGTAGCATACTACTGTAAAGTATTAATTTTGAATTATCAATGTAAAATTCTCTTTAATTGTGTCTTTGGTTTATTTTTGGCAGATGCTATCAGACTCACATCTGCTAACGGCTAAACGTGTCATGCCGATATAATATGAACCTGGGTAGTTCTGTCTGTGATAGTCCCACTTCCCACAGGTAAGGCATAGCAAGCTTTATCTGCCTCGACAATAATGGGAACCATGATTTACTAAATGAACACGATGTTATATTAAATGCAACATGGAACTAGTGATTGAGCCTATAAAGTAATCTGGAAAGTATTTACTGAGCTCATGGAGGAAGTGAGAATCAGGCCCGTTTTCCCATAGATTACTATACAACCAGACATCTTTGCAACAATAGGAATCACCCCTGCTGGACATTTGAATGACTGCAAGTTTAAGGCACTTTCTTGTTTGCTTCACGTTCTCTCTGTAAACAGCTCAGCAGGCTCATCTGTGCTACTCTCAGACAAAACCTGCCGCTGTCATTGGTTTGTTCTCATCATTTCTGTAAATGAAGACTGAAACACCCCAAAAATGTTATTTGAGTACTTGACTCAAAGTTTCTTTTGTTTGCAGCAGCATGTAAAGCGCTATACAAATACAGGCCATTTACCATTTACCATGAACACATAGGACCCCCGGTTACCCACATCATCCTTCTCTGCAGAGACATTTTTAATTCCAGCCTCATAAGGAAGGCTGTGTTTGATTTGCCTCAAGGAATCCCTGCTTATGCTATTTTCAGGGATGTAAACATAACAGTTCCTGTCTAACGAGAAAACTCCACGGGGTGCGTTTAATAAAACTGATGCAGGGTTTTCAGCTCATTTTGGGGGTGATGACGATGATTAAAGTAGTTATTATTAGCTGTGTGTGTGCGGGTGTGTGAATTCCTGTTAAACTGCAGCATTCCTCAGACATCAGTCTTCTATCAACTGCTGTGAAAGCTGCTTTGTTGTTCAGCAGATGCACTTAATACCTGGAGCTGCATGTCAACAGTGGAGCTTGAAATGTTGAGATTGCAGGCGGAAAAACTGTAAAAATGTGACTCATTAGATTTTAACCTTGATTTTATATGATCCATTTATTCAAAACAAACTTTCATCTGTTTCCTCATAGCCCTACTTGTACTTTAATACTCTACTTTTGAGTAGAGTATTGACCTCTTCTTACATGACTGTCCATGCAGTACTTAGCAGAAACTGAAGTTTGTGAATACTGAGTCATTGTTTATGTGGTCTAATGTTTTTACTGCTCTCACGTCCACATTATTCATAGACCTGTCTGTGTTGTTTATCTGCTCAGGCTTCTGCATTTTTGAGCCTCATTTTATTCCTTACCTGCAGCCAAACTTGTGCAGGACTGTTGATAAGGTGGAAGAACAAGAATGCACAGCAGTCGAGGGGGGAGAAGCACCCCGGGGCGTCAGATGCTGACATTCTTGAACTCAGCGGTGCGGCGCAGCTCTTTAATGTCAACTTACATGATGTCTTTTTCTCTCTCTCTGGTTTCAGTCATTTCAAGGCAGTCAAGGAAGAGCCTATCTGTTTAATTCAGTGTAAGTATGAATCTCACACCTCCAGCTCACCCTCCTTGTTTCTCATATAAGCAGTCTGACCTATAGCTTAGTTTGGCTTTAAAACACAGTTCAGTTATCTGAATTCTTCTTTCACTCCACTTTGCTTTCAACATTTGCCACTTTCATCAGTTGAAACACCATGTTAGCTGATGAAATGTTGAAAGCACTTTCTTCTTAACTGCACAGGCCAAAATTTTGAACTGAAAGAGGAACGATCACCTCCACTAACCCCGTTCACTTCTGCAGAATTTGCCGGAGTAGCCATTTACAGTTATTTTGATAAGTTCTACTCAGCACATGCTTTATGCACGCACATAATCACTGTTCAGGAAAAGCACACTTAAAGCAACCCATCCTTTAATTAATAGTTCCCACCCCCATGTCCTCATAGATGCACACATTCCAGTGATGAAGGTTCATAGGAGGAAATGTTGTGCCGGGATGCTTCTTTGTACACCTGCATCTTATCAGTGCACTGCTGCAGCCAGAGCTGTTAGCATGAGATGCACATAAATTTTCATGCTCTCGGAGCATGGATCTGTCATGCATGCAGACTGCACCACAGTTGGCTTACAAACACCTCCTTTAGGTGGCCTCTGTGGGTTCATAAAATGATATTGCATGCCAGAAAATTTAACTACAAACACTCAAAGGAACTGCAGATTTCTGGCACCATAGTGACTCAGAAACAGTCTGGTTCCAGTTTGCAGCAGCCAAACCCAGCAAGCGCTGATTTATTTGGTGTTTTGCAGGTCAAACGATGTCAAAATAATTGTAGTTTTCAGTTTAGATCACACACACGACCAGTTCAGCTTTTGCACTATTTCTAATCATGTTTTAATGAGTCCAGTCATTAATTTATCATTTGACCTGGAAACAAACAAATCATTTCTTACCGGTAAACACAGGACGAACTTCCATTCTTTCAGAGTTTCAGTCTGTGCTGCAGAAAAAGCTGGTTAGCATTCATCTCTTTGAACCTGAGAGCAAGTTTTACCGGTCTATTTCTTGGTTGGTTGGTTTTTGGGACTCTGCTCTCAGTCTTAATGAACCGCGCAGAAGCCGCCCCCCTCTCTGCCCCCCAGAGCCCCGAGACATTTTGAGACAGTGTTGCTTTTCAGCAGCTTCGTGCCACCCGACTCTGAATTACATTGTTTCACCTGTCACAATGAATCGAATGAGAGAAGCAGTCTACGAGCGTCTGAATAAATGATTCTGAACAATGTGAAAGCAACCGAACCCCTGAGACGAAGCTTATGGTGCGCTGCAGGTAAAAAGACATTTAGGCTGAAAAACAGAAACATTTGTGGTGGAGGGAAAAAAACTAAAGGTTTGCAGACATCTACCGGTTGCTTGGTTACATATAATAATTTCAAAAGGAGTGTGTTTCTTATGACGTGTTCGTTTAATTAAAACGCCACTCAAACTTCTCTGCAGCGCAGCGTTTTTAAAGGGCCAGTTCACCACAAAAAGCAGTCCAGTCAGTCTGCCTGGATTGTTTTGCTGTGAGTTATCAGACGTGTCTGCCTTTCTCCTCATGAGGCTGAGCATCAGGCGCTTTTCTTTCTTGTGTCTACATCTGCCAACAAATCCAAGCGTGCAGCTCGCTGACAGTACAGGTCAGCCGAGGTAGACGTGAATGTTTACATATTCTCACACCGTCACAGGTTGCTGCACCTCTGCACGGCAATACCAGTTCGTCAGCAAATTAAGTAAGACGCCAAGGTTCGTGGTATTTTCAAGGAAAGGCTGACGTCTGTAGAGCTGATGTGTCCCTACCTGGTAAATTTAAAGCAGAGGATTTAACAACACAACAAAGATTTTGGGGGCAAACTAAGAGCAAAGTGTCAGCGTCGAGTCATTCTTAACACGTTTATCTTTGCGTTGCTTTCACTCCTGAAACTTTCTGCAAGAAAATAAGATTCGGTCTATACAAAATGGTTTAGGTAGATTTAGGCGCGATCGTGGCTCAAGAGTTGGCAGTTCGTCTTGTAACTGGAAGGTTGCCGGTTCGAGCCCCGGCTCTGACAGTCTCGGTCGTTGTGTCCTTGGGCAAGACACTTCACCCGTTGCCTACTGGGCCCGGTGGCGCCCCAGGGCAGCTGTGGCTTGCCATCGCCAGTGCGTGAATGTGTGGATGACTGAATGTAGTGTAAAGCGCTTTGGGGTCCTTGGGACTAAGTAAAGCGCTGTACAAATACAGGCCATTTACCATATTTAATCACAGGGCCTCTATTTATGCTCTGCTTTAATTTCCTTGACCCTTGTGACCTTTCCTGATCTCCCTGCCTTCCTTACAGGGTGAATGTCGGCTGCGGGCCAGCAGAGGAGCGGGTTCTCCTCACAGGTTTACATGCTGTGGCTGATATCTACTGTGAAAACTGTAAAACCACCCTTGGTTGGAAATATGTAAGTAATTTGCTATTTAAACTTTCCCCGTCTGTCTTGATGGATCACTTAAGGCTGCTGCTTTGTTGTTTTGCATCTGTGTGGTTTTTCTAGTTTCTGAGAGAACACATTATGCTGTTACAGGTCAGAAGAACGAGGTTGCTCTCATTAAAGCAATGCTCATTAAAGAAACTGACACTTTTTCTTTTTTTAAATACTCAGGTTTTTGTTTGGGCTCAGAGATTGAACACTCTGTGGTATCCAAGTGTGCAAGATAATTACAGTGCCGAAAGGTTGGCTGCAGACAGCCAGGCTGGTACCTCTGAGAGTCTACAGTGATTAAATGTCAGGCCGTTTTGAAGAGGCTTGTCCTGGTAATTGTGTGAAAAGAGTATAGAAGGGTGTAAAATAACTGAACACGGTATAAAGACAGGGACTCACTTAAAGCTGCTGCTTCAGTGACAAAAACAATTAGAGATTCTCCGAAAAGCCCTGCAAGCAAAGCAGAGCAGGACTGGTTTACAAGGCAAACCAGGCTGAGCAAATATTCACAGAAGCAGACTCGCACGAGTCTCCCGGAGCTCAGCAGGGCCGGGACATATGCCGGAAATCATACAGCACTTAACGAGATGCACTGCCGGTCTGGAAGTTTAGACCTTTGAACGAAGCGATCTGGACACCGGAGGAAATATTTCTCATATTTCTCTCTGCGTCTCTCAAAGCCCTGCTGTTCTCTGACGGTGATGTGATAGATGGTGATAGTGCTACATCAATGTGTTCATCTTGGATGCTTGAATGCTGCCTCTACGCTTCCCATGTTCTCCATATAAAAAAGGGCTGGGACAAAATCGCCAGTCTTTCTGTCTTTTTGTGTGTTTTTATAACTATTTTAAAACAAAAAACGGAAGATGTAAGCGTGCCAGATTTTAGCAAAGCTGCTAATTTACATCAGCAGTCCCTGCAGAGCACGTTAGTCTATATGATGCACCGGTGATGGTTACAAAGATGCACCGATATAGGAGAAAAGTAAAGTGAGCACAGATGAGCCACTGAGATATGAAGAGCAGCTGTTTATTGCTCTTTTTCCACTTGTATTCCCACTGTCACTCGTTTTGTTTGATAATGTGTTTTTCTTTTTCCTGACTGATTCTCTGATGTTTTTCCTCTTTTAACAGGAGCACGCGTTTGAAAGCAGTCAAAAGTACAAAGAGGGAAAGTTCATCATCGAGCTGGCTCACATGATCAAGGACAACGGGTGGGAGTGACGCTCCGCCTCTCCGTTTGTTTTTCTTGTTTTTGTTGTTGTTTTTCTGACCTGGGAATGCTCTTTATCGAACTACAGGGGGAGGGTGCTCGTCCGGCCCTCCCTCCACCAGCCCCCACACTTTCCTAACAGTTAAAAAAATCAAACACCTCCACCTTCCCGCCTTCTCCACGTGCACACGCACCCACCTGCTCATTGTGAAAGTGAACAAACGGCGACCGCCGAGTGGAGCGACTCATTGAAAAACGACGTCATGTGAGTCCCGCCGTTACTTCCCCAGAGCTTTTGGGATCGACCCCGCCCACTCTCAACCCGCCGCCGCCCCACCGAAACACGCTTACAAGTGATTGTGGTGACGTGTCGACCACTATGCGAAGGAAGAGAGAGACTTCACCGAGAGGACGTTTCTTTCTTTTCTTGATGGATGACTTTGGTTATTTTAATGTTATTTGCTTCAGTTTTAACGTCGGGTTTGGTAAAGATTTGGTTTGGCAGCCGATGGATGTTACTGGTTAGCATTATATTTTATTTCCCTGTCAAGTCTGTGTTTATTCATTTTGTCGGCTTGGTGTATCTCTGCCTCTAGCTGAGCATGCTTTTCTTTGCTAATGTCCAAATGAGTAATCAGGGATGGGTGAGGAGCAGAGGGGGAAAGGGAGTTTATCGTAGTTGCAAATATGTAGCAGCATCTTGCTTTCTTTCTTTTTTTCTTTTTTAAAGAGGCAAAGAATGAGTTTGCAGTATTGTGGAATTTTATACCTGATATTTTTCTGTTTTTACCCTTTTTTTCGACTTTCTTTTTCCCTCTTTCTGGTACTTTTCAGCACCCAAAAGCATTGAAAGCAGCACCTAGTATTCGTTTGACATAAATGGGTATATATATACGTATACATAGATCTATAGATACATATTTGTAGTGTTTGGCTAATTGCGATTGTGGCTGGTCCCAGTTTGCAGCAGTACCACGAGTGAAAGACGAAAAAGGAGCAGAAATGGTTATTAGACTGGGGATCCTTCCATCAGTGCCCACACATCATAAAACACGATGACAGAGTGTATTATCCCATTGTCTGGTAATGAAACAATAAGAGACACTTACATATGAATATAAATACACATACTATGATTACATATCCATAAATACTATGAAAATGTTCGTAGTACGTCGATATTGGAACATGGTTTCTATATATATATATATATTTGCTGTCACGCACATATGTATATATGCATATTACTGTGTGTATATATGCATTTTGTGTGTGTGTGTGGTCATGCATTATACAGTGGCATACTTGAACGACTTCGTTTGCACTTTGCAGAGGCGTTTGGTCCATCGCGGTTTGGAGGCAAAATGTTTGTTCGCTCTCGTTTCCCAATGGCCTTCTCACAGATGAACGACAGATTGTTGGAGATGGAAAGGAAGCTGGAGCAGGAGGGCTTCGTCGACTCTGGTATGCTTAGCAGCTGCCTGTTAGATACTTTGAGGAAATTTGGTTTCATTTTGTTTAAATTCCAGGTTTCCTCTCACTTCTTCCACACCACAAAGTAGTTTCCAATTTTTTGCTGCTATCCTGGAAATCCCGCCGCTTCGCCCCGTTCTTCTAGATCTTTTGCACTTTACGTCCTTCTCTCTCTCTCTCGGAGCGTATGAATCGTCTCTTTGTGGACAGCATCTGTGATTTGCCTCCAAGCCGTATGAATCTTGTGCCTCTTCAAAACACGAACGGCCTCCCTCTACTTGTTTTCTTTTATTTTTCCTTCTGTTGTGCAGTGCATAACTCTGAAAACTTTCATGTGAACCGATGTGTCTTCCCCTTCCCTTCGCCCCCTTCCTGGTTCAAAGAAGTAGCCCTCGAAATAACATTTTTCACCAAAATCCTCAGAGCTCTATGGATAACAGAGACTTGGTATATATACACACATATATTTTCTACGTTCAGATTTAAAGGTGCAAAAACAGATGGATATTCAGTATATTATTTCTCAGAGTAAAGCAAAGAGGAGGAAGAGGTTGCCCGGGACTTGTTGGACTTTTTAATCAGAGGGATTAAAAAGATGGCAGCAGGTGATGGTGTGGGCAGGGTGGGACACGATGGGAGAGATTTTAAAAAAAAAAATCAAAAAAAAAAAATCAGCAGTGATTGATTACTTTGCCGGCAAGGTCAGTCAGATCACACGACCTTTTAACCTAAAACTATGACAATGCAAACCCTTGATAGTTAGCAGTGATACCTACTTGAAATATAAATACATAAACAGCTAAGATATTGGCCCGTGTTACAGTTTTTGTACATAAAGTAACATATTTAAGGTTTTATACGTATTTCTACTGGGTTAGTTCTTTTACTTCCCCTACTTGAAGCACTTTTGTTCACCGTACCTCTGGCTGTGTGGTGTCTGGCGTGTGCGCATACATGCATGTGTGTTAATCCACATGCATGCCTGCACACCAAAGCGAATGTTTACCTTCTCTTCCTCAGTTTTCCCCTCTTTCCTTTTTGAGTTTTCCTGGTGTGTTTTTTTTCTTCCCTTTCACAGCTGTTTGGTTTCGCTGTCTCGCCCGCTCATCTGCGAGGTTGACAGCCAGGTTAGTTTGTTTGGAAGTGATTTATCCCCCGTTTGGTTTGTTTGCTTTTTTTTCTGTTAGCTTGTTTATTTAGCTTGTGTGGTAAGAGCCCGTTAGAGGGCCGGTGTTTAGGTCTCTGCTGAGCCATGTAGACGTTGAGGGCGAGCTGGAATCTCCCACCATGTCGCAGGGAGAGCCTTTACCAAGACCCTTTGGCCACCGCAGTCAGTGTCTCCTGTGCTGAGGGCTTTCAGGTGTAGAAATGCACCCTGTGGCAGCTATGTCGGAGGTCATTAGTTTGCGGCAACACTGGCTGTGAATATCTGATTGTATTTTTTGAACGTATTCATTCTCGTGGTGTTTTTCTTTTTTTGTGTAAAAGTGAACTGTTACTCCCCTTATCTATTTGATCGAATGGCTTGTTTTGATGATAATAGCCTGTTTTAGTCACATCTCAGTTCTGGTGCTGCATCCTTTCGATGTTTTGCAGGACACGCAGGGCCTGTCAAATGCAGGCAAGAATTTGCAGGTCTGTCCAACAACTTAATGCATAGAGTGTTGAGCGCAGCTGCAAGAGTTAACCCCGTAGCATCGTTTGGGCGTGTGCTCAGAGGTGCAACAAACTTCTTTGCGGATGTCGTATCAAACTTTTAATGGCCTGTTTTTGAGTCCAAATTCTAAAGTATTGAAAGATGATGTGAAAGATTTGAGGTCCTTCAGCCAGAACTAGCTTGTCTTTCCATTTCCTGGTAACAAGCTGGAAAACTACAGACTGGAAGGCCATCGGATAAAACAGTCATTGCATTAAAGCCATGTCTTCTTCCACATGTCGTGAGATTTGGTCAGTTTAAAGCTACAAACATTAGATGTTCACATGAACGCATGAATGCATCGTTAGATGCTCGAAGGTTGCAGCTCCTGAACTATGATGAGCTTTTATTAAAACAGCAAAGTCTGATTGCATTAACATAACAATGCCACAGCCCCTGCCTTTAGGTTGGTTTACCTCTGTGAACTTTCCACACACTCAGTCTCACAAGACCAGCACCGGTAGCAAAATTTGGAAAGAAATCTACCTTACAGGACTGTTTGTGTCTATCTGAATCATTACTGAATGCACACACACAGTTGTACGATTTCCCTCTGCTACATGCACACAGCCAGTTTCTCTTGAGGACCTCCACATGGCAGCAGCAGCAGTTTCTGGGAGCGACCCGACTGCAGAGCCTCTGTACTCTTCCCTTCGATAAGTCAGTCAAAATTGAACCAACAAAAAGCAGCTGCCAGTGTCACCGCCAGTGCGTACCAAATAAAGACCCAGGCTCTATCGAATGCATCAGTGTCATGTGTCAGCGGGCAGGAACGAAGCCAGGGGCCACGGTCGATGGGCCCCTGGAGATTCGACTGCGATACCAAAATCAAAGAGTAGAAAACCTGTCACCTATGACATTGTCTTTCTGTAGAATGTTTTGATTCTCTGAAATACAGCGTCAAAGCAGCCTGGATGAAAAATGTAGATATTTGCTGCTGAAAACTGTTTACTTTTTATTGTTGTTCTGTTGTTATCGTGGCACTGGCTACCTACTTTTTGCGCTCTGTTACTGTCTAAACAGGATGTTGATCAAAGGCTAGATGGGTATACGGGGAAAAGACTGTACAAGTTCTTTTCTTAGGACTGTTAAACTACAGTTTGAGGTCTAAAAGCATGTTGTATTTATGATGTCGTGCCTGTTTTTTGTTTTTTTTTCTTCCTAAATTTTAAAGCAAATATTCTGCTTTTTATTTGACTACATTGCTTTGCATTCTGTCTTATTAAAGCCATGTCACATGTCTGTTTTCACTCTAATGTAAACTATCAGATATCACAATAAAATTTTCAATGGCATTAAGTCTCAGTTTGTCAGAAGGTGTCATTATTTTTACATTTTAAATTTCATATGCCATTTTCCGTAGCACATTAACTTTTTCTGAATGTGTGCAAGTAAGAGAGCTTTTTGTATATTAAATTTTTAAACATATACAATCTAAAGATTATGCAACTTTTATTATTTATATTTTGAAATGTAAAGAGTAAGCAACCAAGTGCTACTAATGAAATCACTTGATTAATTAATCATTAATCAGAATGACCCTCCATAAACGTCATAAACATCAGCCATGAGAGAAGCAACTGTTGCCACTTTCAAGGAACTGAAGTCCATCATTCTACAGTTTTTCAGAACAATCTCCCCCAGAGTCGATGTTCCCACAAATTCACCCCAAGGTCAGACCATACAAAAAAAAATCCACCTCTCAGAGTCTGCAGGCCTTGGTTAGCTTGTTAAATGTTAAAGCTCGTGAAAATTACAATTAGAAGAAGCCTGAACTCTTATGGATTGTTTGGAAGGTTTGCCAGGAGAAGGCCTCTTTTCTCCAAAAAGGACATAGTACCATAGCTTAGGTTTGAAAAGTTCTGAAGAAAGACTTCTGGAACAATGGCCTTTGGGACAGACGAGTCCAAAGTGGTGATGTTTAACCTCCTAGGACCTGGCATCCACATATGTGGACATCACATTCTGGGTTATTTAGACCAAAATACTCAATTTTTCTCTACAAGGGCCTGATATCCACTTACGAGGACATTATACTGCTACTGTTCTATCAAAATTTTAAACCAATATCCTCATATGTGGCTCTTATTTTTCTTAAAAACAAAAATAAGGAAAAAAAAAATCTGGTAATTCTTTGTTTTGACGTTCTTAGGCCCCAATATGCCCAAATATCAAAGAGAAATTAAAAATGCATGCCGTGGAAGAGTTCGGGTCTTAGGAGGTTAACATAAGGCACAGCACCACGTTGGGAGAAAACCAAATCAGCATATCAGGACAAACACCTCACAAACTATCAGCACGGTGGTGGACGGGTGATGATTTAGGCTTGTTTCGCAGTCGACCATGAACTCCTCTGTGTATCACAGTATCCTAGAATCAATGTGAGCTCATCTGTCTGACAGCTAAAGTTTGGCTGATCTGAGTCATGCAACAGGACAATGATGCCAAGCACGGCAACAGAATAAGTGAAAATGAAAAAACCTCAAGCTGATGCGTTGGCACTATCAAAGTCCAGACCTCAACCTGATAGAGATGCTTTAAGGGGGGACGCACAGTAAATCTGCCTGGGACAGCATCAAACTCAGCTTTCTGCAAATAGCCTTGCAGCATATGGGTCACCTGCTCAGCCCAGTGAGCTACACTGACACTCAACAAAATGATTGCTGCTCTAAAAGCGAATCATGGGATGTTCTTCATTTCTCACACACTGCTTCTGCTATTCGGCTTACAGTTTACCAAATAAAAAAAAAAGTGTAATATGTCGTGTGTTGTTGTTCTTCTAAAGCTGTGATTGCCTCATTTGAAAACCTGCGAAGGACCAGACAACTGCTTATCATGTCCTGATACGTAGATTCAAAGTCTGTAACTGTTGACTGTAATAAATATACTTTTTCTGTCTTTGTGCACTAAACTGTTAAGGTGAGTTAGTTTAAATGGTTATTCCCTTATACATTTTTTTGTGAGCACGGATAAACAACAAGAATGCAAAAATTAGACAATGGTTATGTGCTTATTTGAGCACCATAAAAAGCCCTGAAAGTGATAATGTAAATTAGACCAGAGCACTGGCCTGGAGCATTTAAAACAGGGATGCAGCTGAAAGAGGAACTGGTCTGTGGTGGATGTCATGTCTGTGAAAGGTGATGAAATGAACTTTGACAGTTTACCACAGAGGCGAAACTTCTTCATTGAGTATTACAGGCCTTGCAGGAAATATAGGCTTTAAATGTAAAACAATTACTGAGGCATGAAATTCACGAGTCTCCTTTCTGATGTGCAAGTGTGGAGGGTTGTCAGGTCATTTCTTCAAAACACAAAGAACTGCAGGTGACAGTGCTTTTTGTTTTCGGTTTGTGCAGCTGAAGAGTCGGACGTCAGCAGTTGTGTGTTTCATCGACTGCAGCCGCACTTCCTTTTACCCGGTTTGACTGTTGGCTCAGTGCCAAAGGGCATAGGGTCATAAATATATATATAAATAATTCTAATTATTTTTAGCAGGTCTCCAAGTGACAAACAGTGAATTCTTTAAGGCGGGGAAGCTTTATATAAATTAAACAAGACTATACTGTGGGATTGGGAATTGACAGTTTATTGATGAATAAATTTAGTCTGCACAGGTTCCTCAGATTTCTTGACTATATTTTCTGAGCTTCGGGGCTGTTTTGTTTTGTTTTGCAGTTACACTGTGACTATCTTCACTTCTATGACACTCAACTGTTCTCAGTTTCATGGTCAAGTGAGGCCTTTCCCCTCATTATTCCATGAAACATTTAGCAGAGAAAAGATTCCAAGACTTGAACTTGGATTTTGGGAGCTGTTCACTGGAAGTTAGAACGTGATGTCCAATAATGGAAATGAAGGAGGACTTCAACAGTTCAAACCAAATGAAACCTAACAGAGAGATCATACCACCACATCATCTGGCAAACATGGTGGGGGATTGTTATGTATGAGCGTGCATGTAGAAACAGCTCACTAGTGTTTATTAATGTGACGGCAGATAGTCGTAGGATGAATTGTGACGTGTACTGGGCTGTACGCTCTGCTCAGAGTCAGACAAAACTGACTGGACTGTGCTTCAGAGAGGACATGGATAAATAAACCAAAGCAAAATGCAAAAGCAGTCCAAGAGTTTCTCAGAGCAAAGAAATGAGATATTATGAGATTTATATATATGAGAGACTGAAGACAAAACTGAAGGCAGAAAGACCCTCAAATAAAGCAGGTGGTCTTTAATTGCAAAGTATTTCAAATATGAATAAAAAGGATGGCAATTCCTAAACAGTTAATGCAAAATTGTTTTTAAACCCCTTGAAATAAACCCAAAATTCTGCACTTCAAATTGATTGTTTGATTTAGAAGCCGATGTCACTGTGTACAGATACCCTAAAATATGAGGGGTCTTAAGATGTTTAATGGGGGTCACAAAGAAGGAAAAATAAAAGTTCTGCCCTATAAATTTTCTTTTACAATATTTTGTTAAGTTTTTTCCTCCTGTTTTCTGGTTTACTCGAGTGAAGTACAATGTTACAATGTTCACTTTTGAATGCAGTCCCAAGAGTTTCAGTTTCAGCTGAGATTTATATTGGTTCTTCTGTTCTCACAACAGTTTTGTTTTTATCTCACAGGTTAATCATTCTCTGTTTGGGTGAGTTAGACTGACACACAGCGAGTACTTCAAACAGAAAGGTTGCTGTTTTATAACTGATCTTTACTTCCCTCAGTATCATCATATCCATATCATGGTCATACATGTGACGGTATCTCAACAACAAAGGCAAGAATTCTGCTAAAGTATAAAAAATGTGAATTCCTTGCAAACAACTTTAAACAGATTATTTAAAATGACTATAGCCTGCAATGGTATGAAGATAAAGACAGTGCAGTGGGGGGATTGGTATTTAAATTTAATATGATGGATAAAAGAAGACTGGAACACTTTCCTCCTCTCTCATAAAAGTATTTTTTTAATCATATTTGATGAGTGTGAAGGCCCGAGGTGACGAATGAATCTCACTACCGCTCTCCCAGCAGCCGCTCAGTCTGTTCTCACTCACAATTGTTTAACCTGCAATAGCTCAAAGTAAAGGAGTTATTTGAATTTGAATGTCTGTATTATGAGAATAACTGTGCATTATATATGTAAGGTCTGTGGAATAAACCTCAGGAGTTTACATGCATCACGCACACACAATGACTCAGAATGACTCAACAGAAACAGTAGTACAAATAACAAACATGTTGTGTCAATGTCATATTTTAAATATCAAAATATATTGCGTATAATAATATACATATCAGTTATTTGATATTAAAGTGCAAAAAACAAAGATATTGCATAAACAGTTAAGGAAGTACAATAATTTTAATATACTGTTAAATGTTTTTAACAATGAAAGAAACAATGACAGCCGTCTAAAAACAAGAAAACTGCAAAATAGTCCGTCTGCTTCTTTTAGATGCTTTCCCAGGCCTGTAGCTGTCTTTAGTGAGACTTGCTTTTCCTGCGATCATCCACCGCTGTTGTTTTCTATTATCCAGGCCTTTTATTTTAAGAAAAGTATTATAAGAAGTGTGTGTTGTTCTTTCTTTTTTCCCCAGAATATACTAAACTGTTGATTTTGTCTCGGGGCTTCCACACAGTAAATAACAAGCAGCGACATGGCAACCAGATCACAGAAAGCTGATGAAATTCAAGGACTTGAAGTGATAGCTGTTGAAATGAACCCACCCACCCACTTCACATCACCAGCTCTTGTTTCCAAGTCGCCAAATGTCTCTGATTCTCTGGTCTCTAATTGCCATGTCTCTGCTCAGACCCAGTAAGGATGAACAATTTAATTTGCATCGTAAGCTCACATGTTGTAGGTTCACAGTAAACAAAATGCCACATACAGAATCATCTCTAGACTGCCCACCTGCTTAAAATAACAGTGCATCTTTAAAAATGTCATAATTTCAAATGAAAGCTAAGACTCTGCAGTTTAAGCCCATATTCATCACATAACTTTCCAAACAGAAGACATACATTTAACCATAAAGTCATTCTGTTATGTTTTCAGATGAGTTCAAAAACCTTCTTGTTTACCTTCATTTCTTCAAGCTTCTGTATTATTCCATCCTTGGTCTCTTTATTTATTTACAGTTACACCCACTACTCCAGCCTAAAGTCATCAGAAGACACAGAAATGTAAACTTATTCCACAAAAAAGGCTGCCACACAGTGAAATATCAATGCTTTGATCTCAGGAAGCTGTAATTTCTTTAAAAAATACACTTTTTTTCAGTTTTTGGCATGT